CCCCAACTCGTAACAAACCTTCACTGTCAAGGAAGGGGTCAAGCTTTTCCAGAGGACTTTGTGTTGGCATTTCTTTTCCTTCAGAGAGTCTTTTGATTTCTTCTCTGAAGATCTCGTGTTGGACGCATTTGATTATGATGGTTTTTGCTTGTGAAAGTTCTGTGTCATTTTGTTTGTCATATTTGTGTGCTTTCATGACACAAAATGAGTGCTTGAATTCCTCTAACCAAAGACTTCCAAGTTGAGAAACGTTCAAAATCTGTGAGAACCAAGCTTGTTTTAATTTATGTTTGTTGCCAACGTGGTCACTTGAGGACGAACTTCAGAATCTGCTGATGGATCAACAAGGTCAACATTTTCAGCTTTGTTGTTGTGTTGAGCATTGACTGTTAAGAACTGTGGACCGGAGAGCCAGGTTGTGTGTTGCAGTTGAGATGCTAAAACAATCCTGGTGCCATGGTCTGCTGGGTTTTTGTCTGTGGCTACATGGTGCCACTGCTCTGGTTTGGTCAACTTGCGGATCTGGGTGACTCTGTTGGCTATGTAGACATAGAAACGGCGAGTGCTGTTGTGAATGTACCCAAGGACTATTTTACTATCAGTGTAAAAGTTGACTGTTTGAAACTCAATGTCACTTTCCTCAATGATTGTCTGAGCAAGTTCAACGGCTAAAACAGCCGTGCACAGTTCAAGGCGAGGGACAGTGTGAGCAGAGGATGGCGCCAGTTTAGATTTTCCCATCATAAACCCAACATGGCATTGACCATCTGTATCAATGACCTTGAGATAAGCTGCAGCTGCTATTGCCATTGTTGAAGCATCTGAGAAGATGCATAGTTCTCTTGTTTGAGTGACTGATAGTGAAACAGGTACAAAAGGCCTGCTGATTTGAAGATTTTCAAGAACAGCAAGTGAGTCAGTCCATTTTGTCCACTCTGCCTCTCTATGTGGTGGTAAAGGTTCATCCCAGTCCTGTTGTTCTTGAGTTAGCTCTCTGTACAGCGCTTTTCCATGAATTGTCACTGGGGCAGCAAACCCTAGGGGGTCGTAGAGGCTATTTACAACAGAAAGTATGCCTCTGCGTGTAAATGACTTAGTGTCTTTACCTACTCTGAATGTGAAAGAGTCATCTTCCAAGTTCCAACCCACCCCAAGACTTCTCTGTAAAGGCAAGGGGTCAACATACAAATCTAAATCTTTGAGGTCGGTTGCTCGCTCCTCCGGTGGGAATGCATTCATTACTGCACTGACGTTTGAAGCAATTTTGTGAAGTCGTATGTTTGATTCAGACAGCATGTTTCTTGCTTTTGTTAAAAGTTCAATGGCTTCGTTCTCACTGGGCACAGAAGTAATACCGTCGTCCACATAGAAATTGCGGAAGACAAACTGTTTTGCGTAGGAGCCATGTTCTTCTTCCCCTAACTCGGCTGCTTGTCTCAGTCCATAGATTGCAATAGCTGGGGACGGACTGTTCCCAAAAACTGGGACCTTCATGCGAAACTCTTTTATTTCTTTGCTCAGGTCATTGTCTCTGAACCATAAGAATCTGAGATAGTTTCTGTGGCTTTCTTTGACTCGGAAATAGTAAAACATCTGCTCCACATCGACAGTAACTGCTACCTGCTCTCTTCTAAAGCGAAGCAGAACACCAAGCAGTGTATTGTTTAAATCAGGGCCTAAATCAGCAGTATGTCGTTAAGTGAGATGCCTTGAAACTGTGCGCTTGAATCAAATACAGCCCGGATTTTGCCCGGTTTCTGGGGGTGGTACACCCCAAATATTGGTAAGTACCAACACTCTTCACCTGGTTCTAACGGAGGGGCGATTTCTGCCTGGTCATTAGCAAAAACTTTGTCCATGAATTCAATGAACTGTTCTTTCATATCTTTCTTTTTGTCTAATGTCCGTTTCAAAACTGTGAGGCGCTTCAGAGCCTGTTCTGTTATTTGGAAGGTGAGGGCGTGGATTGCGAAAAGGGTAATGGCATAAACACTTCCTTGTTCATAATTTCAATGAACATTTTGTCTTCAACGGACATGGTGTTTTGCATCATCAGGGGTTCTCTGAACACATTTGCCAAGACAGTACTGTGTGTTTACATTAGTTGACACCGCGGTGAAGTTAGTTTGAAGTTGGATATCCGACAGACATTCAACGGTCATTCCCTCTCGGTACACCTCTCCTTCTCTCTGGGTTCAGAGCGACTCGAAAGCCGCTCCAACATTTTAGTGCACCCCTACTACACACAGTACGGTAAACACGGAGACATGTACGCTGGTGTAATATTTACATATAAAAAATCATTAAAAATACTTACAACATTTTAATGATAAAAGAAGAGGATGTACCCCCTGCAGCTAGTGGAGGACTATGATCCTGACCTGATTTGGAGTCAATAGGTCACATGACCTGGAAGCTATTGAGCTAAAATGCTAATATTTGCCTTTAAAAATTCATTAAAAATTCTTAAAAACATTTTAATGATAAAAGAAGAGGTGTACCCCCTACAGCTAGGGGAGGACTATGATCCTGACCTGATTTGGAGTCAATAGATCACATGACCTAGAAGCTATTGAGCTAAAATGCTATTTTATTACATATAAAAATTCATTAAAAATACTTGAAAAAACTTAAATGACAACAAAGAGGTGTACCCCCTGCAGCTAGTGGAGGACTATGATCCTGACCTGATTTGGAGTCAATAGGTCACATGACCTGGAAGCTATTGAGCTAAAATGCTAATATTTGCCTTTAAAAATTCATTAAAAATTCTTTAAAAAAATTAAATGACAAAAAAGAGCTGTACCCCCTGCAGCTAGTGGAGGACTATGATCCTGACCTGATTTGGAGTCAATAGGTCACATGACCTGGAAGCTATTGAGCTAAAATGCTAATATTTGCCTTTAAAAATTCATTAAAAATACTTAAAACATTTTAATGATAAAAGAAGAGGTGTACCCCCTGCAGCTAGGTGGAGGACTATGATCCTGACCTGATTTGGAGTCAATAGGTCACATGACCTGGAAGCTATTGAGCTAAAATGCTAATATTTGCCTTTAAAAATTAATTAAAAATACTTAAAAACATTAAATGATAAAAGAAGAGGTGTACCCCCTACAGCTCGGGGAGGACTATGATCCTGACCTGATTTGGAGTCAATAGGTCACATGACCTGGAAGCTATTGAGCTAAAATGCTAATATTTGCCTTTAAAAATGCATTAAAAATACTTAAAAATACTTAAATGACAAAAAAGAGGTGTACCCCCTGCAGCTAGTGGAGGACTATGATCCTGACCTGATTTGGAGTCAATAGGTCACATGACCTGGAAGCTATTGAGCTAAAATGCTAATATTTGCCTTTAAAAATGCATTTAAAATACTTAAAAAACTTAAATGACAAAAAAGAGGTGTACCCCCTGCAGCTAGTGGAGGACTATGATCCTGACCTGATTTGGAGTCAATAGGTCACATGACCTGGAAGCTATTGAGCTAAAATGCTAATATTTGCCTTTAAAAATTCATTAAAAATACTTAAATGACAAAAAAGAGGTGTACCCCCTGCAGCTAAGGGAGGACTATGATCCTGACTTGATTTGGAGTCCATAGGTCACATGACCTGGAAGCTATTGAGCTAAAATGCTAATATTTGCCTTTAAAAATTCATTAAAAATACTTAAAAAATAGTTAAACGACTCAAAAAGAGGTGTACCCCCTACCTCGTATCTCAGTTGCAGCTCCTTCACCTGCGGCTGGGACAAAGCACATAGCGGAATGGTTATAATCACAAATGCACTAAGCGCTTCGCGTTCAGAGTTCATAAACCTCTCAATGTATTAACGCTTGTCATTTACTCTGATACTGTTGGTGGTTATATATCATTAATCTATCAATATCATCATCAAATAATTCAAACGTATCGTGTCCATTGAGGGGGTTTGGCCGTAGACTGTAAAAAGGTGTGCCCAATAAGATAAGATAAGATATACTTTATTAATCTCATACAGGAGAAATTCACATGTCACATTTGGCATGGAAAGAAACACTCAAGATTGTGCACAAAGTAAGAAATTTGCAAACATGTAAAATGCAGGATATATTATGTACAATGAAAGTGGCAATTAGAAAGTGGCAATCAAGAAAGAAGTAGTGCAGGTTTTTCAGTCTTAGTGCGGTGACTGAAAGAGACCGCACTACTGTTGTACAGTCTGGCTGCGGTGGGGATAAAGGCCCTGCGGTAGCGCTCCTTCCTACACTGGGGGTGCCTCAGTCTTCCACTGAAGGAGCTCCTCAGCTCCTCTATAGTCCTGTGCAGTGGGTGGGAGGTGTTGTTCATGATGGAGGTGGCTTTGACTAGCACCCTCCTGTCCCTCACCTCCTCCACAGAGTCCAGGGGGCTGTCCCGTTCTGTGCTGCCCGGGGCCCAGCACACGGCAGCGTAGTGTATGGCAGAGCCTACCACAGAGTCATAAAAGGTCCTGAGCAGAGGCCTGCTCACTCCGAAGGACCTCAGGCTCCTCAGAAGGGCCGCAGCCTCCTCAGAAGGAAGAGGCGACTTTGGCCCTTCTTGTGCAGAGCGTTGGTGGTATGGGACCAGTCCAGTTTATTGTTAATGTGAACACCCAGGTACTTGAAGCTGTCCACCAGCTCAATGTCCTCCCCCTGGATGTTCAGCAGCGTGTGGGAAAGTGGTTTTATCCTGAAGTCGATTACCATCTCCTTGGTCTTACTGGTGTTAGCACAGGTACCATCTCCTTGGTCTTACTGGTGTTAGCACAGGTACCATCTCCTTGGTCTTACTGGTGTTAGCACAGGTACCATCTCCTTGGTCTTACTGGTGTTCAAGCACAAGTGGTTGCGCTCACACCAGTCGACAAAGTCCTTGATAACCGACCGATATTCCAGTTCGTTCCCCTCAGACACACAGCCCACAATGGCCGAGTCATCTGAGAACTTCTGCAGGTGACAGCTGTAAGTGTCGTGTGTGAAGTCTGAGGTGTAGATGGTGAAGAGAAACGGTGAGAGGACAGTGCCCTGAGGGGCCCCAGTGCTGCAGACTACCACCTCAGACTCACAGCTGCGCAGCCGCACGTACTGTGGTCGGTCTGAGAGATAGTCGATGGTCCATGCAGTGAGGTAGTTGATGGTCCATGCGGTGAGGTAGTTGATGGTTCATGCAGTGAGGCTACTGTCCACTCTTGCGTCCTCCAACTTCCCCCGCAGCAGCGCCAGTCTGATGGTGTTGAAAGCACTGGAAAAGTCGAAGAACATGACCCTCACAGCGCTCCCTGCAGGCTCCAGGTGGGAGAGCGTCCGCTGCAGTAAGTAAATGACGGCGTCCTCTACTCCGATGTTGGGCCTGTAGGCGAACTGCAGCGGGTCCAGGGTGGGGCTGACCACAGAGCGGAGGTGGGTGAGGATGAGCCGCTCCATGGTCTTCATCAGGTGGGAGGTCAGTGCGACTGGTCTGTAGTGAGCCGGTTCCTTGGCGTGCGCTGTTTTAGGAACCTGGATCACACAGGAGGTCTTCCACAGGACAGGGACCTTCTCCAGGCTGAGGCTCAGGCTGTACATGTAGCTGAGGACCTCAGAGAGGACCTCAGAGAGCTGGTCTGCACAGGTCCTCAGCAGCCTGGGACTGATCCCTTCCGGTCCTGTGGATTTCCTCTGCGTCAGTCTCTGGAGCTGACTCCTCACCTGGTCCGGTGTGATGGAGAGGGGGGAGGGGGGGGCCCGGGGCAGCCGAAGGCAGTGTCCACTGGGCTGGGCACGTGTGAAGAGGTGGGGGAGGGAGGGGGGGAGATGGGGAGGGGGGAAGAATCAAACTGGTTGAAATATTGGTTAAATTCATCCGCCCGGTGCTGGTCTCCATCCGCTGTCCCACTGGCACTCTGCCCAAAGCCGGAGATGTTCTTTAGTCCTCTCCACATGTCGCAGGCGTTTCCCTGAGCCAGCTTTTGCTCCAGCTTTTTCCCAAAGTCCTTCTTGGCCCTCCTGATACTCCACTGGACCTTGTGCTGGATCCTCTTCTGCTCCTTAATAAACAGGTAAATGTAGAATAATATGTTTTTTTTTATAAAAACATACTGAAGCAATTGGCTAAAAACATTACGAGTACCAAGGTGCTCAGAGGCTGGACCTGCTCTGTCTGCAGTTCTCTCCTGCGCTCCGTAAGTCTCTCCCCAGGGTCGCAAGCAGGTCTCTTATGGGGCCCAGGCACTCATAATATTTCGAAATGGATCTCATAATAACTTGACATTATCCATCCATCAATTTTCTTCCCCTTCATCAGTTGCCGAGTTGCGGGGGTCTTCCCCGGGGTCTCCTCTCTGTGATGCACAAAGATAAAATCAACACATTTAGATATGTACCAAGTAAAAACAATACAAATGTAATAATACAATAAAATACCAGTTAACTATGAACATGTGATAAAAACAACAAAACACTAGTTATCAGATTAAAAAAATAAAATAAACAATGAAACAAATAAAAAGAGGACCACACAACTCACGCGGTGTTAAAAGTCAGAGAGTAAAAATGCGTATTAAGACGAAATTTAAAACATTCCAACGAGGGAGCTGTTTTGACGTGGGGGGGCAGGGCGTTCCACAGCTTTGGTCCAGCCACAGAGAAGGCCCTGTCCCCCGGGGTTTTAAGTCTGGTCTTAGGTACCACAAGCTGGAGCCGGCCCTCGGACCTCAGCGCGCGGGGCGGGTGGTGATTTTGGATGAGGTCCGAGATGTAAGGAGGGGCAGGCCATTCAAAGCTTTAAAAACAAACAAAATGAAGGACCTCTCCACCCACCTGGAGAGGGCAATGCACCTTTTTCCGGTCGAGCACCATGGCCTCAGATTTTGAGGTGCTGATTCTCATCCCAGCGGTATATAAATAAAGATTACTTACTTATTTTACTTACTTAACATTGTCCGCAAACAGCAGAGATGAAATCCTGTGGTCCCCGAACCAGACCCCTTCCGGTCCCTGGCTGTGGCCTCCTAACCAGAACCCATGGCTGTGGTCTCCGAACCGGACCACATAATATTTTGAGATTAATCTCATAATATTTCGATTTTGATTAATCTTGTAATATTGTAATATTCTGACTTTACTCTCATAGCCTCTGAAAATAAAAGAGAAAATTAGATGACCCTTCTGCTCCATTGTACAAATAAGATTTCTTTTATGACAACTGAAAAAAACTGCTACTTATTTTTGTTTTCAATTGAACAGATACAGTGTGATGACTGTGACAGGTGGTTCCATGATTCTTGTGTATCGTTGGAAAGCAAGGACTTGGAGGATGCAATGGAAAAGAGCTGGGCATGTGTGTTATGCCAGTGAAGAAGAGAAACAAGGGACAGGGCTATGTTCAATATATTTTCATGATGAAAAAATAAAGTCATCTCATGGTAGCCCTACTAGTGTTGCATCATGTTACTCCACTAGCTGCATAGTACAAGTACTTTTTTCATTTCAATCTCTAAATATTTAAAATAAACATGTAAATATTTCCAAGTCAAGTGATCTATTGACTCCAAATCAGTTTTGGATCATAATCCTCCACTAGCTGCAAGGGGTACACCTCTTTTTTTTGTTGTTTAAGTATTTTTAAGTATTTCTAATGAAATTTTAAAGGCTAATATTAGCATTTTAGCTCAATAGCTTCCAGGTCATGTGATCAATTGACTCCAAATCAGGTCAGGATCATAGTCCTCCCCTAGCTGCAAAGGGTACACCTCTTTTTTGTCATTTAAGTTTTTTTTAAGTATTTTTGATGAATTTTTAGATGTAATAAAATAGCATTTTAGCTCAATAGCTTCCAGGTCATGTGATCTATTGACTCCAAATCAGGTCAGGATCATAGTCCTCCACTAGCTGCAGGGGGTACACCTCTTTTTTGTCATTTAAGTATTTTTAATGAATTTTTAAAGGCAAATATTAGCATTTTAGCTCAATAGCTTCCAGGTCATGTGACCTATTGACTCCAAATCAGGTCAGGATCATAGTCCTCCACTAGCTGCAGGGGGCACACCTCTTCTTTTTTGTCATTTAAGTTTTTTTTAAGTATTTTTAATGAATTTTTAAAGCAAATATTAGCATTTTAGCTCAATAGCTTGTAGGTCATGTGACCTATTGACTCCAAATCAGGTCAGGGTCATAGTCCTCCCTTAGCTGCAGGGGGTACACCTCTTTTTTGTCATTTAAGTATTTTTAATGAATTTTTAAAGGCAAATATTAGCATTTTAGCTCAATAGCTTCCAGGTCATGTGACCTATTGACTCCAAATCAGGTCAGGATCATAGTCCTCCACTAGCTGCAGGGGGTACACCTCTTCTTTTTTGTCATTTAAGTTTTTTTAAGTATTTTTAATGAATTTTTAAAGGCAAATATTAGCATTTTAGCTCAATAGCTTGTAGGTCATGTGACCTATTGACTCCAAATCAGGTCAGGGTCATAGTCCTCCCCTAGTTGTCAGGGGTACACCTCTTTTTTTGTCATTTAAGTATTTTTAATTAATTTTTAAAGGCAAATATTAGCATTTTAGCTCAATAGCTTCCAGGTCATGTGACCTATTGACTTCAAATCAGGTCAGGATCATAGTCCTCCCTTAGCTGCAGGGGGTACACCTCTTTTTTTGTCATTTAAGTATTTTTAAGTATTTTTAATGAATTTTTAAAGACAAATATTAGCATTTTAGCTCAATAGCTTCCAGGTCATGTGACCTATTGACTCCAAATCAGGTCAGGATCATAGTCCTCCACTAGCTGCAGGGGGTACATCTCTTCTTTTATCATTAAAATGTTGTAAGTATTTTTAATGATTTTTTATATGTAAATATTACACCAGCGTACATGTCTCCGCGTGTTTACCGTACTGTGTGTAGTAGGGGTGCACTAAAATGTTGGAGCGGCTTTCGAGTCGCTCTGAACCCAGAGAGAAGGAGAGGTGTACCGAGAGGGAATGACCGTTGAATGTCTGTCGGATATACAACTTCAAACTAACTTCACCGCGGTTGTTGACCGGAACGGTCTCTGGTCATCCCTGTTATAGATCCATGAGTCATGACCATGGGTCATCCTCTACCTGCAGATTATGTGAAGATTTTGCCTACAGACAGTGACCACATCCATGAAGTAGCAGCAATAATGTTGTGGTAGTAATCGCGTTAAAATGCAAACGGTCTCTCCGTTTATGATTAGAATCCGCTTCAGAAGCCTCTATTTAATTTATCCTAAACGGACTGTGGAAGATTAATAAAACACATGCGGCTGTTCAAAGTCATTGAGCATCAACTGGTGACATCTGGTCAGTATCACGGCTATCGATGGATGCACCAGAAATGCAGTGAATATTATTGTTACTGACAGAGAGACCGTTCGCGATTACTGGATAGTGAGGGAGGTCCGCAGACTGCAGAGGCAGGAGAACCACAGTCACGGGCACTGACAATATTAAACCTTTTGGAATTGCGATCAGTGCATTGAAGAGTATGTGACGTGTTTGCGTGCATGCGGGGGTGAGCTGATGGAGCGAGCGTGCGGGTAAAGTTGTTGGCGTATGAGCAAGAACACAGAGACATATAGGGAATAAGTACCTTGTCTGATTTTTTTATTGTGACAAAATAAAGCCCACGACTATTTTAGCAACAATCCGGAGAAATAACTCCGCAGATAACAGTGAGGGTCTTTGAAAAGGGAGATAAACCCATTATAGATGCATGAATAAAACCCCGTACTCAACACGTAGAAAGCGCATCATTTCAGCCGTGGAAGGACCATAATACATCCATGGGAAGGACTCGCTCCGTGTGGACCCCTCTCAGCGCCATCGTCTGGTCAGAGTGAGGTATAGCAGATTGGATTGCAATTTTCCTTTGATTTATTATAAAAACATATTGCTCACATTATTTGTTACTATGTCGAAATAAGAAGTCGTTTGATTTAAATGTTGTATATATGTAAATTGAATTTAACATAAATAAATAAAAAGACAGCTCCCCCTGCGTCCTACGACCGCGGTCTGGGGCTTAAACAGGAAAGTTTTACAGAATCAATCAAACAACATTATTTCTGGCTACTTCAAGGATGCAGTGGTCACTGTATATAAATTCACATAATCTGGAGGTGAAGGATGTCCAGAGACCGTTCCAGACAACAACACATACGAGTTTTCAACTGTACATGCGCAGTTGAAAACTCGTAATTTTGACTTTTAAAGTCGAAATTTTGACTTTTAAAGTCGTAATTTTGACTTTTAAAGTCGAAATTTTGACTTTTAAAAGTCGTAATTTTGAGTTTTAAACTCAAAATGTTAAATTTCTGTATGCTTTTTTTTTTTTTTTACATGGCGGAAACGGGCTTCCATACCATGGCGCCATGTCAATGCGCCATCTTGAAATACAGTGGTTGATAAAGGACAAAAATGATCGTAAAAGAATCGTGTTTTCTTTTGGAAATGGGTATTGTAAAGTGTTACTCAAATTGTTGTCCACAATAATTCAGATCAATTCAGTTTATTCTTGTATAGCCCTAAATCACAACTGTAGTTATCTCAAGGACTTTACAAAACTGTCAAAATTGCCAACACTGATCAGAGAATCAAACAGCTCAAAGACAGGACATGCAATGAATAAAAAAACCCACATTGGTCCATAAGGGGCAGAAGACCAATGTCCGCAAATGTTGATAAATGTTGAGTGTCCTGGATCATCACCACCGTCCTTAGACCCTCCTTCATCGTCAAGGAAAAACTGTTTTAAAAAATACTGCTAATGTATTTCAGCTCCTCCAGAGGTCTCGTCCTGGGTGGAGTGGAGGGGGGGCAGGAGGGTGGCAGTGTGCAGGGCAGAGGGAGCCAGTCCTGCAGCCAACGTCAGCTGGCTCATCACGGGAAACGCCACCACAAAGACGTCGGAATCTGACGGCCTCATCACCATGGAGACCACTGTGGAACTCCCCACGCCAGAGCAAGCACAGAACATCTCCTGCACCGTCACCCACCCATACTGGGATGAGCCCCATGTGATCAGGCCAGATTTCAGCCCACGCCAAGCCATGAGTAAGTGCGGAAAAAAATCTCAAAAATGTGTTAATGGAATATTTTGACTTATTTTATCTGCATATGCAGGTCAGAATCGTACCGCAGTTTATGCAACTATTGCCATCAGTGTGGTTTTCTGCTTGGCTATGCTGGTGTTGGGGATAAAGAAAGTCACACATTTGAGGTAAGTCTTCAGTACTACCTCTACAAGCAACATTTAATCACTAATATACTCACACACATGGTTTATGGTTAAAATGTATATGTAATGTGGGGGTACTTACTGGACTTATGTGTCAGGTGATTCCGGCATAATGTAATGGAATGTAATGTAATGTAATGGATAAGCAACAAGATACTACAATGTGAAAAATGTAAAAAAAAAAAAACAATTGTTATCCATTTGTTCACCAACCTAAACTAATCCTGTTTAATCCTGTGGCGGAGTGATATACACTGTAAATCCAAATATCAGCCTCACCTAAAATTATTGATTATATTTGACTTGATTTTTCACCAAGTTTACTGTTCACCCACACACAATTAGTAACCTTTACAATTCATGTCAAAATCTAACTTATATAGTTGAGTTTCATTCCATAAGTGTTGGTGTGTATCGTCTGTGGTATTTCTGTATCAGACAATGCTTGAAAGGTGTCTGTAAAGTCAGTACTTTACTAAACAAATTGATGCGGGTATTACTTGAGCAAGCTTTTACGACATGCGCAGTGTCACTCCCGTATTCGTCCCGGAAACCGGATTCGTCCGGAAGTTCAGTTTGATCCAATGAGCATACGCAGCAGTAGATTACGTCATGGAATCTGGACGGAAGCGGAAGTAAATATAAAAAAACTACCTATTCATGCCTAAACTTAACCAGCCATTCCCATTAAATAACCCCAACCCAGCCTTAACCCTAACCTTAACCATCTTACTCAGACGCCTAAACGTAACCAGTCACAACTTAAGGACTTTTTACACTTTTTGACATGCGCAAACTGAACTTCCGGACGAATCCGGTTTCCGGGACGAATACGAGAGTGACACGCAGTTCAGTTTTTCACCTCATGGCGAGGGTCACTTCCTGCCTCGGCGCCATCTTATGCTTTTACCAGTGGGGGCGGGTCCCAGCTCAAAAGTGGCCAAAATGACGTGCGCTGACATGCTTGCAATACCACCCCGGGCCGATGGGGGTGGACCCAGAAGAAGAATTAGCCAATGCTAACATATAGCATTGGCAGACCTCTGGAAAACGTCTTTACAGGATGGAGCAAAAGTTGGCTCTTGGCCCAAAGCTTCGTTCCACATGTGTGTCAATGCTGAGGGGGGTGATTTTTTTCTGTCCACTCTAGTTTACTCGCGGGGAATTTTTGAAGTCTCTCGTTCAAATGAATGGAGCTGCGCGGCTGACGCATGCGCAGATGCGTTTTTTCACAATTTTCTTGTGGGCGGGACCACTCGCGGCCATCTTGGATTGCTCCATGAAAGCACTTTTCATGGCCAACTCCTATGAACGGCGGAGATAGGCGTGACTCTGTCCATTAATATATACAGTCTATGGGTAGAGCACATTTTTTGGCCCACGGCGGAGATAGGCGTGACTACGTCCGTTAATATATACAGTCTATGGCTTTTACACCGCGAGCACGGGACCACGCGGCCGGGACCTGTGCCCTCTCACCGCTGTGGTCTCTGTATACAGTTACACAGATAGAGCAGAAAGCAAACTCTACACTGTAATAAGTGAATCAGACCAAACTTTGAGGTAAAATATTTTAAGTAATTACTATATACTTCATTTTCCACAATTTTATATTTTTGGTTGGCAAATAAGTACTGTATCATATTATCATAGCTCCCTGTACGGTCCGTGTACTTCGGAAAATTGGAAAATTGAAAAAAGGCTTTTTTTGCACTTTCAGGCACACGGCAATATACAAAAATGACCATTTTGGGTTTTTTTTCATTTCTTATAAGACATGTATATTGTAATAACCAGATTTGGAAACTATAAAATGCAATAATGAACCTTTTTTATTGTGCATTTAATACATTTCGGCGTCAATCGATTACCCAGAAGTTAAACGAATTTGTTTACTTCAGCCCGGGACCCAGAGACTGTAGTGGGCTGGTAATTAGTGATAATAACGGAGGACATAAATCCCGTGCGAATGCGCCATGTCTGTAATTTGCCGAAAATGACCTCCTGTATTGTCCAAATACAGACGTCCTGTGATAATACTAATCTCGTGAGAATCTACATGTCCGTGATTGTGATCGCTATCGCCGCTTTCGCTTTACATTCTGCGTTGTTTTTTGTCAATGAGCAGAGGAGTGGCGTCACGGCTGTGAACAGCTGCAGAATCGCGGCTGCTGCTGTCTCTGTGAGGTCTATGGAGAAGTGTAGAGGACAGTGTAATGTGTTCACTGACATAAAATGATGAGATTGCATTTGTACGTTCACTTTGCACTCTGTCATAGTACAGTACAGACGTGTTGCTTGTCGCATGTTTGTCTCATGGCTCTATAATAATAACGGGTTTGTCAGCAGAGTATGTGGTGCCTTCATGGGTAGTCCGTACAAACAGCATTGTTAAACACTACAGACAGCACCGTGTAGATTTATTAATCCATGACTGTAGAGCAGTAAAATCCACATGTATGCGTTTGTCTTCATTGTCTCTCTGGCTGCTGTGGTCAGACGCCAGTTTTTCTGAACTGCATGAAGCGGAGAGAGCGGTGAGATTTCAGAGAAAATATAGTAATTTATAGACATTGCTTATCCCGTGTGAAAGCACTGCAAGATCTCACACCTCCTCCGCTATTATCACACATTACCAGGGGTCCACAGGTAAAAACTAGTTTCACATCCGGGTAATCAATTGACGCCGAAATACATTAACATTACATAAATTAAATACAAAATAAAAAAGGTTAATTATTGTATTTTCTATAGTTCCCAAATCCGGTTATTATTTGTTAAATGTCTTATAAGAAATGAAAAAAGCCAAAGTGGTCCATTCTGGGTCCGTGTACTTTTGCGTTCAATACATTTTCTATTTTTGAAGGAAAATGGAAAATAGAAAAAAGGCTATTTTGCGTTTTCAGGCACACAGCAATATACAAAAATTACCATTTTTTTTTTTTCATTGCTTATAAGATGTATATATATTATAATAACCGGATTTGGGAACTAGAAAATGCAATAATTAACCTTTTTTAATATGTATTGAATACATTTCGTCCTCAATCGATTACCCGGAAGTGAAACAAGTTTGTTTACTTCAGGCACATTCGCTCTAATTTAGTATAATTAATACGCAAATAACCTCCTGTATTTGTCCAAACACAGACGTCCTGTGATAATACTAATCCTGTGTTAATCTGCATGTCAGTGATTGTGATCGCTATGGTCCCTTTCGCTTTACTTTCTGCGTTGTTTTTGTCAATGAGCAGAGGAGTCGCGTATCGCGGCTGTGAACACATCTGCAGAGTCGCGGCTGCTGCTGTCTCTGTGAGGTCTATGGAGAAGTGTAGAGGACGTAATGTGTTCACGGACACTAAATGATCAGACCGATGGGTTGTGTTTGTATACAGTACAGACGTGTTGAATATATACACAGTCTATGGTTGATGCAGCCGTTACTATTTGTCGGCTTGCACGTATTGTAGCAGAGTATGTGGTTCACGAGTAGTCTATACAAACTATTATTAAACATTAAATACAGTATGGGCCAGAGAACTGTAGAGCAGTAACATGTTTGTCCTCATGTCTCTGTGGCTGCTGTGGTCCATAGTCAGACGCGACTCTCTAAACTGCGTGAAGTGGGTAGACCCGCGCACGTGCGGCCGTTATGTGAGATGTCAGTGAAAACAGTATTTTACAGATATTGCTTATCCCGTGTGAATGCACTGCAAAATCTCAAGGGTCCACAGGTAATTCTAATCTCGTGCGAGTAAACAAACTTGTTTCACTTCCGGGTAATCGATCGAGGCCGAAATGTATTAAAGAAGCTATTGACCCCTTGCATGTGACGTCCCGGCCACGCCCACTCTCCATGACAGACGGCAGAAGTCTAAAGCCTAGCGTACATCGGACTGGCAACTGATTATATCCGTCGCATATGAGTTGCTGCCCCGCACACATCGACAATCTGACGAAAACGGGCAACTCCCAGTAGCAGACCAGTCTCGGGAATAACAGCGCGTACATCGACAGCAACTGGCCTCAACCACAGTGTGTTTTCTGACATAAACTGTTGCGCGCTCGCAATACACGCAATACACACACGTTGTCGGAGCGGCGCATGGAGCGCGCACATCGGGTCATATCTCCGAAACTGAGGACAACTAGTTGCCAAAAAGTAGAACACGGGCAACTGACTGAAACTGGAGACCGACTGATCATCTCCAGTTGTAAGAGCGCGCACATCGACTTATTTCGGCAACTGATCATCTCCCACCATCTCCTCTCAGTTGCCAAAAGCCACCTTGCAACTAGTTGTCCCCAGTTTCTCTGTCGATGTACGCTAGGCTTAACTGCGAGCCTACGGACACCTGACCAAAACAACCTGTTTCAGCGCATTACAGCCAAGCAAAAATAGACATTTTATTTAATCGATAAAATTGACTGGGGGGAGAAGGTACGGGTCAACATCCGATCCAGTTAGGCAATCCTTAACTTCTCCAAATACCACTCTTTGTGAGCCCTGACCTGATGTCCAACTTCCACCTTTAACGTATTCGAACATTGCTTGAAGCAGCCACTTCTCGATTTAGGAGAGGAAGCTCCGTTTTTAAGAGTTGTGTCCGTTTTGCTCTCGCAGCAATGCTAGTTTCCGCCGTAAGCTCATTCACAATCACGTGACTGGATGACGTTGATGCATCTGGTCAATACCTGATTTTTTTTCTAAGTAGTTGATAAAAATGCTTTTTACTACATACAAGTTGTATCATCATACATCATTTAATTGAAAACTTGAGGTCATTGATTCAGCTGTGTATGAAATTCAGGTAGTGAAAAGTGCTGAGTAGAGTCTGAGCGGGCCGTTTGTTCTCCTCCGCTCACAGAACGAGCAGCGAACAGCCTGTGTCCTCCAGCCTCTACAGCGCTGCTTAACACCAGGACTTCGACTTCAAAATTCGAATATAATTCTAAAATAAAAATATATATATGTATTCAAACAAATATTAGACAGCACTTATAATTCGAAATGTATTTAATGACTGCAATTAAAATAGTTAGCTCCCAAAGGTTTCACCGGGAAGTGCTAGGCAGGTAACAGCTAAGCTAGTTAGCTGTTTCATGGTAACTTCCGGGTTTTTCGCGATCACTTTTTGTCACTTTAAAACAGTATTTTTGTCATGAAAACGTTGACAGCAAATTCTGAAATCGTCCGTGCATGTGTGTTAAGGATGTATATGTATACTGTATTGTCCGATTAACGTTTAATGGTGTTGATTGATAGATATGTATTTGTTTATTGAGCGTGGCTAGCTCCGCTAGCTTCTCTACACAGACAAGTGTGCAGAAAAACTGCACAATGTAGTGACAGGCGCTGATAGCTTGTTGTACTTGCAAAGTAACGGCAGTATTTTACACACCTGAATTACAAACCGAGATTGCATTGGGGCTTCGGTCATTATTGGTTTGAGAGTTCTCTTATCAAGAAAAAATTATCGGAAGAATTGCATTCAAGTCAATGGAGTGCTGCTGCTGTGAGGAGCTGTATAATAAATTATAATTATAATTAATAATTATGTATTCTTTTACTTATATATTGTGTTAGCAGTGCATTGCTTTAGTGCCATTTAATCAGTGATTGTTGTACAGCTTACAAATTGCGTCAATGCTAATGTTAGCATACGTATCAGATCCCAAATAAAACTAGGTGGCTCCGTGGGATGAGAGCCGCAAGCCCCGGCGATCCAAGATGGCGCCCTATTCAAATGAATGGTTGTGCTCAGTGGCGCTTTGTGACAGCACGGGGGCTGAAAGATTAGCGGAAGTTGCCTGAAACTCGCAAAGAACTATGGGAAACTCGCCTGTATTTGGGCATCGTCTGGTCCTCCCGGTTCTGCGCAGTGGATGATCTCCCATAATGCGTTGCGCCAAACACGCGTGTGTGGGTCTCACACATGGATGTATTATATTAACTGGATAGGGTATTACTAGCTTGTAGCTGAATAACTCACGTGCTCAGGGGATCCTCGCGGTACTGCAGACTGAACCAGACTAAATTCACGTGGGCTACCCAGAAATGTTCCCCATAGAACTCAATGCATATTAAAACAGCTCAACCTCAGCTGACAGAGAACCTACAGCTTTCATAAAGGTCGGATTTTGTGGGGATTTTAGTGTCCCTTGTCATCCTGAACTTTTTTTCTTCTTAAATCCTTCAGTTTTGTTTAAATCCACACTTTAGTGCCACACAAACTCTGCTCCTCTGGCTCTCGCTCTAACTCCCGCTCTGATGAACTGCTCTGATTGGTCAGAGCGCGGCCGAGCCCCTCTGTGCACGTGCGTGAGACCCGGTGTGAGACCCACACACGCGTGTTTGGCGCAACGCATTATGGGAGATCATCCACTGCGCAGAACCGGGAGGACCAGACGATGCCCAAATACAGGCGAGTTTCCCATAGATCTTTGCGAGTTTCAGGCAACTTCCGCTAATCTTTCAGCCCCCATGCCGTCACAAAGCGCCACTGAGCACAACCATTCATTTGAATAGGGCGCCATCTTGGATCGCCGGGGCTTGGTCTCACACCGGGTCTCACGCACGTGCACAGAGGGGCTCGGCCGCGCTCTGACCAATCAGAGCAGTTCATCAGAGCGGGAGTTAGAGCGAGAGCCAGAGAAGCAGAGTTTGTGGCATTAAAGTGTGGATTTAAACAAAACCGAAGGATTTAAGAAGAAAAAAAGTTCAGGATGACAAGGGACACTAAAATCCCCACAAAATCCAATCTTTATTAAAGCTGAAGGTTCTCTGTCAGCTGAGGTCGAGCTGTTTTAATATGCATTGAGTTCTATGGGGAAAATTTCTGGGTAGCCCACGTGAATTTAGTCTGGTTCAGTCTGCAGTACCGCGAGAATCCCCTGAGCACGTGAGTTATTCAGCTACAAGCTAGTAATACCCTATCCAGTTAATATAATACATCCATGATGAGAGCGTAGGGGAAATGAGAAGCCTGTGAGCGAGTTGGGGGGCGGTGCTAAACATTCAAACGTTGCAGAAACGGGTATAGCGCCTTTAAATACATAATAAAAAAAGGTCGATTATTGCATTTTCTAGTTGCCAAATCCGGTTATTATAATATATATATGTCTTATAAGCAATGAAAAAAACCAAAATGGTCATTTTTTGCATATTGCTGTGTGCCTGAAAATGCAAAATAGCCTTTTTTCGATTTGCCATTTCCCTTCAAAAATAGAAAATGTACTGAACGCAAAAGTACACGGACCCAGAATGCATTGTAGAACAAAATATAAACTTCTTAAAAATTCTACATTGAAGCATTAATTTCAAGAGTGGAGAAGGAGAAAGTCCTAAAGCAAAATACTTGAGCAACATTTTGAACAAACTTATTTGATAAAATAAGTAATTGTATTTATTTTTACCAACCGTAATCGACAGGGCCAAACCAAAGCAGTCCCATACTGCTGCAGATTGGATGTAAACAATCTTTAGATCTATGGCTTGGTTTTCATGCTTGGAATAAAAACTTCAAGTCAATATATTCTCTAACTTAAGATGGCCAGTTGGGATCTGATATTGTGTGACCTTGGTCGTATCTTTGATGGCCACCCCCCTGACCCAGAAATGGGTTAAGATGTAGAAAATTGATAGATGGTATGGTACGGTTACTCCAGTAGGAATTAATAAACAATTCAAAGTAAACAAATGTGGAAGGGTATGAAGGGTACGATTTTAGTAACCTGAATGAGTAAAGTGTAATTGGCAAAACGTAGGGTTGCATAAATAATAATAAGTAGACTTTACACATTAAAAATGAGTTATTTTTTACTAATTTATATTGGTAAACTTTAATTCACACTGGAGTAAGGTTTTATAATTTATTGTGAGTAAACTTTACCTGGTCAAGAGTAAAGCTTATTACATTATTTCATGCAGACTTTACCTGATCTGATTGTTGATAACAGTTACTCAATTAAATCGTGTGCAATTAGTGTCCACACTTTTTTTTGAGTAAGGGTTACCAATCAAACTTTACAGTGTAGAAGAGCATTATTTTAAACTTACCGTACGTGTGCGTATATATGAAAATAATGTACAGCAGTTAGCATTCGAATTCTCACAGACCAGGTATAATAAATTGTTAAAGCACATTGGAGCTTTATAAAAACTCGTCATTTCATAGATTCATCCATAGAGTGAACTAATCTAATTACAAAGTCTATAGTAGTAGACTTTGGGGCCTGTAAAAAAAATAAAAATAAAAAAATACAAGGTTTTCACAATATTATACTTTTTTGTAGCTGTACCTGTACTCTCATAATGTATTTTAAGAGTTATTTTGCAAAAACGGATATCTCCATTTTGAGAGGATTTGTAAAAAACAAAAAATTAACCTTCTAGTGCAATCATCAACGAGTTTTGTTATCAACAATATTTTGAAAGAATTTGAGCTGAAACTTTATTGGTATGGCAAAATAAAAATAAAACTAATTGATAAAGGTTAAGAAAGCCCTTCAAGTATTTTTTTTCAAATGACACTCATCTGTTTTTGCATAAATACTTATTCACTTCATTATTTACGTATTTATTTTATATTCTGTGTATTCTTCCCCATTATATGCAAATATGTAATATTGTCCTCTGTTTTCTCAGAATGAATCAAAATTCATCCAAATCTCCATCTGTGAGTAATCAACTGACATATTTGCAGCAAATTCAAGTTGGTGTCATTATTCTCATTAATATGTGTTACCCCTGGTCTCAGGTGGAGGAGGTGGAGGAGGTGGAACCTTACGAAAGCTACGTCCAACGTGTCAACTCCATCTACAACTCATCTAGAGACTTGTTTGCATGACCTTTACTCACCTCTGCAAAAGTGTCGGAATAACAAGAAGGCTTCTTTCTTAAGCCTTCATACTTTTACTTTTTTTTTTTTAGCTAAATATGAGTTTTAAATATAAACTTTTTTGTATAGCGGTTGGTCAACATTCAATACAAGACACTTTATGCACTCGTGATAATGACTTGATCTGTACATACTATTATTCTTATAAGACTAATTTAAAAGTGTTATGTACTGACGGAAATAAAAACACTATGTTCATAAAATGTTCTGTATGTCACGTGTTTCATTCTGTTGGTTATTTCAGATTGTGATCATGTCATACCTAAAAAGAACTAATGATCAATTGGATCTGTTTATTAAAATAAGCACATCTTGTTAGTCTTGTATCTACTTTATTACTCAGAAAATACATTGGACATAAATAATAATAAAGTAAATATCTTGAGTCAGGGTTACTAAGAAATTACAATGTCGCCCTCTTGTGTATTATACTGGTTTAACATGATACAGGAGCCGTGAACAAGCAGACAGTCCTCCAGTCCAGACTATGATTCAGAGGAAGACTTTGGATCATGGAATAAATAACAGAACCAAAACAACAACAGATTTTTTTTCTTTAACTCACTCTCTTTATTCACAGCACAATTATAAAAGTCCATACGTTTTACTTTTTCTATCATTTGAAAGTGGTATGCAAATGGGAACTCCCAGAACACTGCATTAGCTCAATATAAACCAGAAAGATATTGTTCCATTGATATATGCATTTACTGAGATCATTGGGTTTTATGGATGAAACCCAATGATCTCAGTAAATGCATATATATTGGTCTGCAGCACTGTCTTCTCCTCTGGTCTGCTCGGAGTCTGGGGGCTCTTTGCAGGGCTTGTCAGACTCAGGGTGCTGCAAGGGGCAATCTTTGCTGGACTGGTCAGACTCAAGAGAATCCAAAGAGCCGTCTCTGCAGGACTGGTCAGAATCTGGAGGTCTGGGTACGCACACTGTGGCGTAGTCGCAGTCCGTCTCCACTGTGGCTCTGGGCATGGCGGGTTTGGAGCCACTGTGGTAGATGGATGCATACGTGACGTCCTCATGAGGCAGCGGGGGACTGTTGTCAGGCTGAATCACCAAAACCAAATGTCTATAAGTGCCCTGTGAGTATTAATGTTGGCCATGTTAAGCTGTGTCAGAGCCTTATTGTAAGTAACCTGTTTTTCATGCAGATCTCAGTATGTGCATGTGTTACTTCCTCTAGTAAAATGTATTAGGTCATCTGTATGATGGTCATAGATAGATACACACACACACACACACACACATACAGTACACACATACACACACATGGTGCAGACTCTAATATATAAGAATGTATTACCTGCTGCTCATCATTAACGGAATTCACTGTGAAAAAAATACCATATATAGTTGTAAAAAATCTATATGTTTGTTTCGCACACTCTCCAGAGCTCAATGTTAAAAACGTTACCTCCAGTTATTGTTGTGTTGTATGTCTTCTTTGTCCTGTCAAATACAAACACAGACATATTTAGCTTGGCAAAGTTTTCTATGTAGTCCATGTTTTCACAAATACTGTATGAATAATATTTGTTTATCTTTTCCCCCTCACTGTTTTTCCTTGACAGCAGAAACAGGAAGCTCTTTCATTTGTACAACATTTAACAAGGAACTGTCACCAGCTTTTATTTCAACAGTAGCTCTATTTAACAGTTGTAAAATATAAAATAAAATCATGATGAATGTTATCAAAAGTCTGTCTAATTCAACAGGACATATAGCTCCAAAGCATTCAACAAACGTCTCGTACAATATGGATAAACTCTAATGGAATAAACACGTACTTACCCTGAGGCACAGTTTCCCATGTTACAGCTCTGTGCGACTGTGTGTGTCTGCCTGAGGAAGTGTGTGTGTCTGCCTGAAGATATGTGTGTGTCTGCCTGAGGATGTGTGTGTGTATGCGTCCTATGGTCAGGAGGTATAACAGCAGCGTGTGTGTGCAATAGTGCCCCCTAGAGGAAAATTTACAACATTCATAATCATTTGAATGTATTTATTTTTGTAGTCGTTCAATTAATTTATCACACAGGTGCCACGCCCACCATTCCCATCTTCCATATATATTTTATCACAACCTTTCTACAAGGCTTGGGTGCACACTTGGGTGCACACTAGGCCTCTGGTTAACCATTCCTATCCATAGTTTTGCACTCCATAAAGTTTCCATTTTCCATTCAGTATTCCAGTATTCTCCCAACCAAACTCCAATCCGGCAAACCGAGCGCATTTTGCGCTTCCTGTTTTGAGCGCCTCGCACGTACGTCTGCATCTGACGTCATAGATGACGTCATCGTATTTTTCAGTTTTGTTCGATCATGTATTTTATTATTATTTCCTCTGTAGTTTACAGGTGCAGAGGATAAATCTATAATAGGAAGAGTTTATTGTGGATTTACCCATATTTTTTGTATTATGAATGTACCCATGGTTTATGTAGAAACTGTAAGTTAATGATTTGCTTGCAGTCACGTGACGCATAAACTTTCGGTTGACGAAGTGGTGGTCTGGCCAGCAAGAGTTGCTGATGATATATGAAGAAAATGCGACTCTTCCGAGTATTTTGTTGCTTTTTTGGATATTTCATGACAATTTGAAGCTACTGTGGTGAACGTTCTAACTCATCATTTTAACAATATGCACAAGGCAGAATTTTTCCACTACATGTTTTGGTAAGGGTTAGGGTACCGCGGCAAATGCTAACATGCTAACATGCTGATAAGTCTCCATTCCTCCGCTGTATGTCACTTACATTCTGTAACGTCTTTGTTTATGCTGCCTCTACCATCGACAATAAAACATGTCTTCTGTCTGAATTAAAGACACAATCCTAGACTGTCATTTTCTTCACTTTAGATTCTAATCCACTAGCTAGTGTTACAATCAAGCTTTTGCACTGCTAAACAAATGAAGGTTTGGAAAAACATGGATGCTGCAACTTTTCCGTCTGTGGGTTTAAGAACTTAGAGTTAAGGTCCTGAAGCACAAATCCTGCATCGTACAGAGCCGTGTAAGTAAGGATTAGTATGAACTTATCATTCTCAACAAAACAATTTCTCAACAAAACAATGCGTCTGTGCTGTGTTCTTTTCAGGTCAAACATTCACAGTGATTATCTAAAATGCCGACTCATACCTGACAATTAATCAAATAAAGATGGGGATGTAATAACTGTGCATTGTGACTGCACGGCTGGGTAAATAAATAATCCTTCGAGGTAAAAGCGTCTGCTAGTGAAATGTTAGCGAGCCACTTTTCCTGCGTCTTTTCGTAAAGTCCTGAGTGCGAGGCTCTTTATTAATCTCTTCACGAGGAATCCTAAAGTATCCATTAAAGGTTTTGCGACTCGATCAGTTAGAAAACTTAAAACAACACATGCAAAAGGCAGATTCAGACACGCTGCTCTAGTGAACAACTAGCAGTGTTGCTTTCGTGAGATATTCATGGCGGAAGTCCGAATCTGTGAATATCAAGCTGACTTTACCGAACTACAACTAACTCGGCTGACCACCACTTTGTGATACGCATACGTAATGAGACCTTTTTGAAATGTGTTTTTTCTGTAAATACTGTAAATATGTTTATTAATTACTGTTTTGTTTTCTGTACAGCACTCTTCTTCATTCGTTATTCTTCATTATTTTATTCTTATTTTGGGAATAAAACCTTATGCGCCATCATTTTATTTCATTCAGAACCCCGTCACATCAGCATTAAACTACATTATTAAAATATAGCAGAATATTTTTTTTTGTTTATTTGACAGGGAAATTGTTCATTTAAAAAAAAAATCTGTAAATGCCCCAGAAATTAGCCAATCAGCAGAACATTCCTTTGTGTGTCTGGGGTCTGTCATTTATCGCCGCCAGCAGCTGTTTCACTGTTGTTTTCTATGACATGTGTTTGACAGTAGAGGGCAGTACTAGCATGTTGCAGTCTTTGCAGTCCATAAATCTGTGCAGTTGCATTGCATGATGGATACTTAAGCACTATCTTACTATTATTTGTTTCATTGAATAGTTGTATGATTTAATTTAATTGCATTGTTGATGGGAAAACAGCCTGTGTAGTAGTGCAATATAAGCTTAAGAAGTCATTTTCCGGGCGTGATTCAGACATATTTCCACAGCATAAAGTACGTCAAGAACCGGTTTGAATGTCAGAATGTATAATATAGAACCACACGGCATTGTATCTATGAAAGTAAGCGAAGTAAAGACTGCGGACTGTCAGCTATCTCTGTGGCCACAGATGCTACGCAAGCTAATGCTAATGCTAGCGCATTTCTCACTTTCCTTATTAGGCATTTTCCTAAAAATTGACACCCGTTAGAGAAATGTTTTTTAGGCAAAGTAGAGACTCCATAAGTTCCCCATTTGATATGAGCAGTTGCCACAACTGTACACACCACAGAAAAAGAGCATTTTAACTCGGAATCCAGTGAATGTTTACAGTGTTCTTAGTGGGAAAATGTACTTCCTGTCCCTCGGAGCACTTCTGTCACGTGCAACTCCAGCAATTTATTTATTTAAAAAAGGATAGCCCCTTGAGATGCAGCATCTCATTTGCGAGGGGGTCCCACAGTACAATAGAGATAAGAGAATACAGTACAAAACAAGAAAAATACATATATAAAATACAAACAAAACACACGCATACACACACACACACACACATACACGTTTTTGTTACCTGGTGGGTCCCTTTGACAGGGCCGTTCAGAATGGGACCCATAGACATAATCTTTTTTTACCAAGACTTTAAGTAATACAAAACAGTCAATAGAAACCAAACAACTATTTTAAAGGAATTTTATTTTAGATTTTGTTTTCGAATTGCAGTGATTCTATTTTTGACATAGAATTTAATGCCACTCCATTTCCGATGTCTAAGGTCATCTGGTGAGGCATTAATGCAGGCCAGGCAGTGAGACTTCCCAGGGACCTTTCCAGTCTGTATGAAAGGTGTCATGGTCTTCTCCACAGCCTTCACCTCAGATGCAGACCATGGCTTTCTTACACGTTCTAAGGAGAGAAATAAAAATATATTAGCAATATACACTCCCAGGGTGAGGACCAAGCAGCCTGGCTGTAATCCCCCACCTGGTACACTTACCAGAAGGGGCACTGCCACTACCATGGGGTGCATCTGGATGAATGGTTGAAGGTTCTCCGCTTGAAGTTTCTTTTAGCCCGTCTCGTTTTGTGAGAGGATCTCTACTGCTCTCCCTGTCGCACAGCAAAATAAAAATACAAGTGGCCTTTAGGGGAAAAAATCATACATATTTTTAATAATATCAAGAATTACCTTCAGGCTCAATTGTATCTGGTCGAGGCTCTTTCCTTCGAATTCCGTCACTCTTCCCTGCTCCATGGCCATCAACACTTTGCTGATTTTGGCAGCTCCAGTGTCCCCTCTGGTAGTCTGTAATATTGCCTGTGGATGCGAATGTCATGGCCAGAGGAAGTTGGCAAGTATGTCCATCTCATTCCTCTTTCATATTGAGAACTGTAGACATAGTAGCTATGTGCTTTCTATGTTTGGTTGAGGATAGCATCTCTGGATGCACCGCACCACATTCTTTGGCTACCTGGCGTAGGGGAGTCCTAGATCCCCTGATGTGGGTGTCTGCGCCCGGGCGGGAAAAGAAGTATGGGTTATGGTCAGAGATGGAACAGGCCCTTCTTGTTCTCACACCAGCCCACCTCCATCGAAGCAATCATTTCAGGAGTCAAAAGAACCGGCACTTTCCGACTTCTTTTCCCTTTAACTTTTCAATGCGTTGAAAATGCTGGACACAGCTTTTTTCTCAAGTTGGGACAGTCCCAGAGCAATGTCAGAATGGATCCCAGTCTTACTTCTTAAGGTAAAGGCCTGTCAGTGGCATCTTTGAAACCTCACCTTCCCTTCTTCGATTGAAAAATGATGACCTCACAAAGAGTCAAACTGCCAGTTTAGACCAATGCTTAGACGTTGGCTCACTTATTAGGGTTTGCACATATTCAGGTCGACATAACCTCAATATGTGCATGCATGGCTCTAACGTCCTCAGTCAGAGGGAGCAGGTCCGGAGTGTTCCACTTGGCTTGCCGGAGGGGTCTGTAGGGCAGCAGAAGAAACACAGACGTCCCACCTCTTCTCAAAAAGCAGCCGGCTTCGTTGGAGGTTTTTAATAAATAGTTCATCAACACAATGCTCCATTTTTGAGTCACATTCAGAATATCTGCTAGCTTTCTGAGGCTATGGCCGAGTTTGAGGGCCAAGGATGGAGTCTTGTATTGATTTGTTTCTCATCATATACAGCCACAGACCTGACTGCATCAATCACATGGTTAAAGTTGGAAGGAATAAAGAAATCCTAATTGTTTTCAGTTTCCCTGCGGTTTTTGCTTCGTTAATTAACCTACCGACTTCTCTCATTTTCTGCCTAATGTAATCATGCTTAGTCTTATCATGCCCGTGTTTTAAGTACAGGTGCTCTCCGAGTCTCAGAATCCCCTTTTCTGCTTTGACAACACCCGTGACCTCATCCTGATGCATTGCCGAAATTAAAGACCACAGCTTTTTGCTGATGCCCATTCCGGTACAGGCTGGGCTATGGGAGCAGAGGGACTGGACCTACTTCTACCTGGTTTAGCCTGGGCATCTTTCTTGTGAAAGCCGGCACCTGGCCACATGCCTCCACAGCGGACTTTCGCTTAAGCAATGCCCCACAAGTCTATACAGTGCAAAAACTCACTGGATTAACTGGGGAATTTGCTGTTTAGCTGGGACTAAAGTTCCAATGCCGGCCTTTAAAACCTCAAAA